AAGATAAGGTGACCATAGGTTCGTGGATTTATCTCTGGGCTTTCTATTCTGTTCCATTGATCTATATTTCTGTCTTTGTGCCAGTACCATACTGTCTTGATGACTGTGGCTTTGTAGTATAGTCTGAAGTCAGGCAGGTTGATTCCTCCAGTTCCATTCTTCTTTCTCAAGGTTACTTTGGCTATTTGAGGTTTTTTGTATTTCCATACAAATTGTGAAATTATTTGTTCTAGTTCTGTGAAAAATACTGTTGGTAGTTTGATAGGGATTGCATTGAATCTATAGATTGCTTTGGGTAGTATAGCCATTTTGACAATATTGATTCTTCCAATCCATGAACATGGTAGAGCAAGTGATTTTAATTCCATGGCTACAGTCACCATCACAGTAATTTTGGAGCCCAAGAAAAGAAAATCTGGCCACTGCTTCCACTTTTTTCCCTTCTATTTCCTTGAAGTGATGGGACTGAGTGCCATGATCTTAGTTTTTTGAATGTTGTTTTAAGCCAGTTTTTTCACTCTCCTCTTTCACCCTCATCAGGAAGCTCTTTAGTTCCTGCTCACTTCCTGCCATTTAATCCTGGCACCTGGAGTCTAAGGATGCCCTCAACCCCAGAGAAGGACCCAGAGATAGGCCTGAGACACAGGTGGTCCCTCCTCTCTCACTCTTAAGGAGGTCTCGCCCCAGTCATGGGGGCCACAGACTTGGGAAGCCCCTCGACCAAAGGTGAGGCATCCTCACTAGGCCCCCGCGGAGTAGTGAGGGCTCCTGGAAGACAGAGAGGCCTGCAGGGCTTCCAGAACAATGTGAATGGCAACCCTGGGCCGCCCGCCTCCCCTCGGCCGGAAGCACATAGCCTGCTCCACCCCACTACTCCCGTTCCAGGGCTCGCTGTGAGGAGCAGTGGCCCGAGGCTCCCTTGGAGCCCAAGGGCCTGACTGTGGGCCTCACTCTTGATGGCTCTCTGTGGGTGACCGGGTGGCATCAAGAGGGTCTTCCTGGGATGGCTGCTGAGGGATAGGAAGTAGAACTCTGCCCCCGTGAGCTTGCACTGGGCTCTCATCATTTAGCCCTCTGGTGGACGTTGTCACCACTGACGAGGCTGCAAGGTGGTCATTCAGTCACCCCCTTGACAGAAGCCCTTGACCTTTGACCCCAGCCCAGTGCTCCTGCACTCATGTCACACCCCCCTGTCTTCTAGGAGGTTTCCTTACGGGGTTTGGGGTCGTTTCCTATTGGCTAACCACAGCCAGGGCCATCTGGGGCCAACAGAGAACAGTGAACCCCAAAAGGCAGGAGGTCCAGGCTTAATTTCTCTTCTCTTCAGAGCTGGCTGAGGGCAAGCGTGCTCCTTTGCCTTTGCCCTAGGCAAACACAAGCCACCCTTCCCAAAGGTCATGAGTGTGTACTGCCTGCCAGCTAAGAGGGGCCGTCAGGAAATCCTCCCACAGCAAAGAAGTGACTTGTCTCCACCGTTAGAAAGCAGAAGCAAGCACAAAATTTGGTTTGTTGATCTTCACGTCCCCTCCCGACACCCCTTAATTTTTTCAAAAATGTCTTCCTTTTCAGACTCACTGA